GAGATAACCACAAGCACCACTGAGTGTCAGACTTTTAGTTCAGTAACCTACATTCAGGTGATTAGGTTAAACTACACAGGTTAGTAAGTTAGATCTACATCTAGACTTGCGTTTCAGAGCTTTTTATTTTAAGAGTTTCAAACTATGCATACAAATTTATGTCAAATTCCCCCACTTTCTAATCCAGCTTTATTAGTATTTGCAAACCAGCCTGGGTGAAAAGCAGAAAGGGGAAAGAAAATTGTATCTAAACTTTTTGGAGTCACAGCTAGAATAAAAGATGGACATAGCAACCGTGTCATAGTAGGATCCCGCCCTGCATTGTGAAGTCTTGTATTGAAGTCTTAAGTTGGCATTTTTGCCATTGCCATCTTGTTTTTCCTTTTCTTTTTTTCCCCAAATTTGATTTGACCACGGTGCACAGTCTAGCAATCCTGCTTTATCATCTGTTTTATGCTCAGTGAGATCATAATAACACATTTCTGAATTACTAAAACAATAACGCCTATTGTCTCCACCAATTTATAGTATCAGAGACTGTAACAGTTTTCGCCTAGTTAGACACAGTTTGCAGATCTCTTTTTAACCTTGTTGCAAAACTCTAAACACATTCTCACTCCCTCAGACACTTCTTGCACAGTGATGTGCACTTGTGATGACTAACAATAACCACAGGAGGCAGACATCTCAGCGTCTCAAAATTGCTTATACCAGCAAAAGCCAGTTCCGGGTTCATAGTAAGCCGGGACATGAATGGGAAAGCCGACGAGGAAGGGAAACTGGGCACTTTCTCATGTATAGTATAGCATAAGGCGCAAGTGTCGCCAGATATGCAATACATGCAATGATGTGACAAAGAAAGATTGTCATAGGACTTGAGGTAGACTTGTGACAACTAACTACACCCTATGATTCTTAATTCTTCAAGTATTTGTTTTCTGTGTGACTTTATAAGTCTCTCACATTGTTGTGGCGGAATTCTCACCCAGTCTTCTGTGAAAGGTTGCTTCATTTCATTGATTTAGGCATTTGTTTATGCACAGTTCTCTTAATGTTCTGCCACAGCATTTCAGTCACATTGCGGTCTAAACTTTGACTGGACCATTGCAGCACCTTGATTTTTTTTTTTTCAGCCATTCTGTTGTGAATTTGCTTCTATGTTTGCAAAACCAAACAAGCCATACTTCTTCAGTTGTTTTTTGTTTGTTTGTTTTTTTAAATTGTGCTGTCATGAACTTCAATGTTTAACATGCTAACTAAGGCATGTAGAGTCTGAGATGTAGCACTTGGGTTTAATGCAGTATCTCTGATTGGCACACCTTGTCCTTGGATGTTTGTGCCGCACATGATTGGAGGAAGTCAAAGTGAATCTCCATCTAAGCAGAGCTTCTATTGCCATCATGAGCTTGAATCATTGCTTAAATCCACTGATGTTTCTGTGTATGACTTTTCTAAATATAAGGGAAGCTGAGGAGAGTCACAGGAGGGACTCAGACGCAGACTGAAATCACAAAGATTAGTTTGTTTATTTTACTCTCCACGTGCGATATATACAAGTGAGGGAAGGGGGGTCCGAGGTCACCAAGGTTCATGAAGGGATCAGGAAAACACAGGTAGACTTCTTCACACAGTTAGCTTTCTCCTCTCAGGGAATCCTCTCCACGTTTACGCCGCACTGACTCACCACACTCACAAAAGGGTCACGGCAACAGATCCTCAGGTGGGGCATGCAGAATCTAGCATACGGACAGGAGAATCCATGTCAGGAAAAAACTCGAAGGGAACTCAAAAAAGGCTGTAGAACTGAAGTAACACTGACGAGGGTTACACAATAATCCAGCGACGAGGTATCCTCAGCTGCTGCCTTAAGTAGCGAACTTGAGTGAGGGATGAATCGCAGATGATTGTTTGCAGGTGCGAGGACCAGAGGCGGGAGCCTGCAATGAACTCCGCCCAGGTAGTGCGTAGAACGCGAGAGGGAAATGAGAGAGGAAAAGAAAACAGATGGAAGACCAGCCGGTCAGGCACGGGGACCATGACATAGTCAACTTTGGTTTTACTTTTTTCAGATTAGAAAGATGAGAGTTAAATATCCTTAAAGCTGCTTTTCCAGTACCTTTATTGGAGCGTGTAATGATTGCTCAGTAGTGTTAATATTTTAAGATGTGTTGTTTTCTTAAAAGTCTGATGTGACATATTGTGACTTCAGCTGGAAAACTGTTTTAGAAAAAGATGTAAGGTTTAAAGAAGTAAGTCTTAGCGTTGCGAGAAACTGTACGTAAAATGTGGCATCAGTAAGTTGTTGGGTTTTTTTGCACAGTTTGAAGGAGTCGCCCCCTGCTGGCTATAATGCTTGGCCAGTAGTTGAAGTTGACAGGAAGTCACTTGTGCTTATCCCTGATTGTTGATATTAATAAATAACAACAACAACAGAAAAAGTCAAATGACTCAAAATTAATGTGAACTGCTTTTCAAAACCACAACAGTTTTTTTGCATGTGACTCTGTATTTTGGTTGTCAATGAGAGAGAAATAAACACTTTTTGTAAAATAAATGAATACAGGTTCCTCCACATGCACACGTGGGCACTCTGGCAGTGAGCTGAAGTTCAGCTTTCTTTTTCCCCTTCATTACGTAAACGTGTGGGACAGAAGGGGGCTGAGGTAGGGAGGAAGATTCGTGAAATGTCAGAAACACTGTCAGTGATTAAATACAGCCAACTCATTATGACAGAGCAGGGTGAATTGCGCTTTAGCATACTCCCTCTACTCTGACTTCTCTTCCCTGGCAGAGACATGCATTTTATTACATGAGCTCCCCTGTGATCAAAGCTGCTGTGTATTTTCTGTTAAACTGGTCCAAGTCAATTAAATTTATAACTACCTTGTGAGGTAGTTATCATTAATAGCTGCAGAGCTTTGGTAGCGACCCAAAATAGGCTCAGCGAACCAGGAGAAATGTCTGTTTTATTTTATTTATGGTTTGATTATTTGGCCAGAGTCTCCTATGCATCTGGGCTGATGCAAGGACCAGATGGTGCCAGCTTTGGGGTTATACAGTATGGCTGCTCCTAAAGTACTCGACTTGAGTCATCAGACACCAAGTCGTGTTTGATTGTATGGTATGGGGAAAAACAAAGGTCCACAGTAACGACACTCAGTCACTCAGTCTGTAACTGTGCTTATTTGATAGTTTAGAGTAATTACACATGCCGCAAATGTGGAATTTTGAAAGGATAAAAGACATTCCCAAGAACATCACATAAAAACTCTTAGGCTCAAACATCATTTGAAACAAATGTTTGCTACTTTGTATAACCACTTGCTATACCCCAAGTATAGTCTCCTTGCTAGTTGTTGCAATATGTTACGAATCATTACAAATCATTAGGAAGTCTTACTACGGTTTTGTATTTCCTGCAGTGAGAGAGCAAAGTGCTCTCAGACTGCTGGCTTACTTGTGGTTCCTAGGGTATTTAAAAGTAGAATGGGAGGCAGATCCTTCAGCTTTCAGCCCCCTCTCCTCTGGAACCAGCTCCCAGTTTGGATTCAGGAGAGAGACACCCTCTCCAGCTTTAAGATTGGATTCAAAACTTTACTTTTTGATAAAGGTGGGGCTGGATCAGGGGAGCCTGAACCACCCCTTAGTTGTGCTGCAACTCACGTATCAGATATGATACATTTGGCATTATGTGGTTAAATGATGAGTTCATAACTTGCAACATGAAAATATTTTTTTTTAAAAAATGGAAACAAGGTTAAATATCAACGGTCCATATTAGCCACTCAGGACTAATACACTGTATCATTTAGTTTTTTCACACTGAGTGCTCACATGGAATGCAAAGCAGTGGATTCTCGATGAGAGACTGAGCATTATGTGTTTTGCGTGAGACACACTTAATGGGAACCAATTAGGGCTGCTACAAACGATTATTTTGATAGTCGACTAGTCACCAATTATTTTTGCGATTAATCAGATCGTGCATCCATTGGACGTAAAACGTACAGCTTATTGCATCAGCATGCATCTGCTCTTATATAACTATCATTAGCTTACAGCTTTAAATGTTTAAGGTATGTTCTAACTAAAAATAAAGACAAGATGATAGTTTATTCAATTTTAAATGAAATTTGCAGATTGTTTTGGTGAAGTTTAATAAACTCAGCTGTCTGCTCCTTGCTATCTAAAATATAACGGGACACCGGAGTATATTCTCGAGCATCTCACACTTCTGATAATCAGTTGTCTGCTTGACGTTTATTCAGCTGTGTAAAAACTATAACTTTAATCTCAGCCAAACCGATTTACTCAGGAACTAATAAAATACTGAAAAAACCCAAACAATAACATTTTTAAGTTATCCAAGTGACTTATATATGTTTAACCTGAGTAGCGAAAGACGGCGGTGGGTTTGAAAGCGATTTGCCGGGAGTCCGGTGTTCTCACGGGTTCTAGTGACCTAGCCCCCGGCTAGCTATCGAGCTGGTGGGTAACAGATGTCTCCGAAAACGTCGGAGCGCTTTTGAAAATATGTGGTGTCTTGATAAACTGAGAAGATATTTGAGGTTTACACAGCTACATTCTCCCCTGAAAATATGTTAAACGTTTATTTTGTGACCCAGAAAGAATAATAAGAGTAATATTAAAACTAACTAGCTGCCACACTATGAATTCTGGGATAGGTTGGGCCACGAAGTATACACCCGACCCATCCTTCAAATCTGGGGAAATGAAGGGCGCATTTGTCGGACGCATTTGTCGGAGTCTTCGAATTTGGACAGCATTCGTCGTGTCGCTGTAACGTAATCTGCCTAGAAATGCGGGCACAGGAGGATGTGGTTCTTGAATTTGGACACAGATACGATACCAGACACTGCTTCTTCTTCTTCGGGGTTTAACGGCAGCTGGCATCCTTGTACGTGCAGTGCTGCCATCTTCTGTTTCAGTCCGTTATTACAATCCTACTACTTATTCCTGCGTCTTTTGGGATCTTACAAAGCTTCAAATGATGCGTCGACTATTAAATCAGTTGTCGACGTTTTTGATAGTCGACTAATCGTGGCAGCCCTAGAACCAATAGCCCCAGAACTCAAACCATTTACTAATGCCTGATTTACATAATTAGGCAGAAATTAACTGCCATGTCTACACCACTCTTACTGATCACTCAAAGTACTTTATAATAACAGCCACATGTAACCACACATTTATACAGTGCTTTATCTATACACTACAAGCACTTTAGGCACCTCGTAGACACCCATGAGGTACATAAATTTAGAATCACCAATTAACCTAATGTGCATGTTTTTAATCTGTGTGAGGAAGGAACCCATTGGAAATCCTGGCAGGAGCGGGGAGAACATGCAAAGCCCAGCTGGGATTTGAGCCAGGAACCTTCTTGCTGTGAGGCGACTGTGCCCCAGAACTACAGAAATCTCCAGCGGTTACATATAACAGGAGATGGTGAATTATTGACAGGGGATGCTGATACTTCAGTGCACATTCAGCTGTTGTTTGCAGTTAAAACACATTGCAGTTTGATTTGTTTTGTACAATATGCATAATTTGATGCCAGTAATGCTTCACCGCTTAGCCCTCTTAGGTCCTTTGAATCTGTGAGTTTGTGGCGTGTCCTGACTGTTGTGAGAACCTAAGTCCCTGGACAAGCTTTGAAGTCGTGCCACTTGGTTTCTCTGGGTGAAAAGAAATGCTGACTTTGCCCCCCCCCCTGTTGAAAGCAATGCCAATCAAATCCTACCAAGGGCACACAATGGCCTCCTAGAGAAACCAGAGCTCATTCATGCATTAATTTAACCTGCCTAATTTAGAATATCACTAATACACCGGAAGAGGATAAAAACTCATTTGCTTGCTCCCTCCTGTCATTGGTTCTGAAGGACCTCTTCCAAATGGCATCTACCAAGGGTAATCATTATAATGAATTCATGGCTTTGTCTGTTCTTTTGTCTGTTTTCCCTTTGTTCATTCATTATCCTCTCATCTCTCTCTGTTGCCACGCAATAATGTAATTCTTTTAATGCACCAATGGAATTTGTGTGTGCCTCTCTATAAACACGTATGCATGTGTAAGTGTGTGTGTGCACCATTGTGTGTACACACAATCATATGGCAATCATGCCTACTCAGCATGTCGCACTAGCAACAACTTAAGTAAGGCTTTTCCTGTGTCATTGTTAGATGATCTGAGGCCCTCATGCTGCTGTGCCTGCCTAGTGTTTGTGTTTGCATTTGTATCACTGTGTACATAAAACAAAGGACCTGCTTGCCTTTCCCTTCTAACCCTTCCCAGGGTGAAAATTATTTACAGATTTATACATACCAGCTTCTAAAACCTGAAAAACAGACGTGTAGGACTTAATATATGATTGTGTGTTTGTGCAAATCTTTGTCCTATATCTACTGACCAAACTCAGAAGGTGCAGGAACAGGTTAAATCCATGAAAGAAGCTGCAAGGCTGCAGGGGACACTTTAGTTGCTGAATAGAGATTTGAAGATTTGCCCTCCTTCCTTGGATGAGCGAAAGGGGTGAAAGAGGGAATGACCCCGTGTCCCCTCGTGCTGACCAACCACTGCTAGCTTGTAAATTGAGTCCATGTGGGTTTATGGGTGTGGTGTCGAATAGTGCACATTTCCTTCCAGGATTGGGATTGTAGATGTTACATAACTCGGCATGTGTGTGAAATGGAACTTTGAATGAGAATTCATTGTGTCCTTAAAATAGCCTCACCCATGGGCTCTTAACTGTCCACAAAGGAAGCGTGACAGCTGTAAACATGCATTTCTGTTTGTGTGCGTTTGAAGGAGAGAGCACGCAGAAGAGAGCGCGGAAAGTCGCTGTGCAGGCATTTAGTTACAGTGTTTAGCTTGCAGATGTGCTTTTGGAAAAGGGATCAGAGTAATATGTGAGTAGCCTCAGGGGTCTTCTGATTATGAGCCATACTGCGCCTCCTCTCAGGTAATGCAGACTTTATAGTTTCAGGGTTTTCTCCAAGGAAAATATTCCATATGGCCTTGGATCCAAATGCTAAAGTGGGTGTTTGCATAAAGGTTACTGCTGTTCATTCTGAGTATCCTAATGTTTGACATGTGTTAGTCTTTTGAGCTTTGACCTACACAAAGAGGTGTTTAACTGATTGTTTGACAGGTTGTGTATATGTGGGCTGGATGTGAAGCAAAGGGGCAAGTTGAAGCGTAGAGTCATGTTTTCCCATTTCCCATAATTGTTACCTCTCACTTCAGCATATCCAACACCACCTCTGGGATGGTAAAGCTGTTTTTTTTTGTTGTTTTTTTCTCTTTTTTTGTCCTTGACACAATGAAGATGATCAGTAGAAAGTCAAAACTTTCGTAAAGAAGCCAAAAAGAGAAGAAACTCCCTCATACTTTTGCCCTTCATCAATGGTCTGTAACTTTTCCATGCAATTGAGAGACAAGTTTACATTATCGTCTGCTGTAATGGTAGTAATGACAAGTGTTGGCAGCAATGCTTGGCACTGCTCCATCACTGGGCTGGACTCCAGTGGGTCAACCTCCACATGTATCAGAGACAGTTTACAACTGCGGTGCCGAATGACTTTCTTTACGTCGCTTGCTGTGCATGTGTACTGTAGCTTGGGGTGATTAATGTCCAGGCTTCTTTTTCCTAATGAGAGCTGGGCAGCTCGTTAAAGAGGAAAAAAAACACACGGGACACTTAAAGAGCTGAAAATTAAGGGCGTGGTGGAATATCGTTAGAAGTTGTCGAGCTTTTTGTCGAGTGGAGTGGCAGCTGGAGGAGGAGGAGTGGTCTAAAAGCCTGAGACGCTTAAAGGAGATGAACTTTCTGGTTGCATTTTTTGACCTGTATTTTTTTATAGGAATCTGCAAATTTTTTTCTAAATTGCATCACATTGTCTTGTGTATTGAAACCAGAAGGCTTGCATAATCAGATAAGAGCATTTTTATGTCTGCTACACCCAGAGGGAACACTGGGGAATGTAGGACAGCTGTGTTACATTGCTTTTACCTGCTAAAGGGGCCTTAGCAACACATGCCAAGTGATAGTAACATGATAACGGTTGGCAGCTATGTCTTGTACACAAACAAGCGTAGGAGACGTAGTTTGTGTTTGGTGTAACCTGTTTAGCAGTGTGGGTTGTTGATGTTGTTGCAGCGTTAAACCTGTTGGACTACTGGTCACATTCAGAGGAGAGCTCAACCACAACCATCTCAATGAATAACACCAAGGAGCCATTAACATTTATTCTAAAGATTTTTTTATTTGGGACGTGAATTTTTCTCAATGATAATCACCCAGGTAAGACTTCCCTCAGTCATAACTCTTTATGCACTTTGCTTTTGGTTTTTTCTTTTGCACCTCTTTAATCAACCTTAAATGAAGACACGGTTCAGATGTTATGCTTTGGTTCTTTTATAGTAAAACACTAACATGCATATGTTCAGGTTTAAGGTGGGTCAGTGAATAACTGATTAAAAACAAAGCTTTCAAGAGCAGTGCACTCACTTTACTGTGTCCTTTCAGTCTTATGTTAAAGATTGAAAGACTGCCGCATGTCCGCGCTGGTTGTCAGCATGAATTGTGCAGCTGCAAGCACAAATCCACATTGTGATTAAATAGCTGGCAATATGCAAGTTGTTGTAGTGTTGACAGGGTTTTCACAGTTACTGCCAGTGTGGAGATATTACTTTGTGGGGACGAAGTTTGCTTCAGCACACCGCACTCACTCCTCGTGCATATTTCAAGTGTGTAGTCTTCGTCTGTGCTTGTTTTACAGTGTGTAAGGAAGCGTTTGGGGAAGACAACTTATTAGAATCTTACGTGTTTTTTTGTCACGTGTTCATAGATAGTAACACTGAATTTTCAGCTACTTCAGCTAAAGATATAACACTTACACACTTATCTGCTCAAAGACATTTAAGATATTTACTCCTTGGTATTATTCCAGCGTTTGCTACGACTCCCAATCTGAGACTAAATCAGAAAACTTTCCTGAGGGGATATGAGGTGAGAATACATAAAATGATATTCATCATAATTTAAATGTAAGATGTTCTTTGCATTTTCTAGATACAAATACTCAAGCAGCATAAATGCACATGGCAGTATTTCATGGCTGCAGTGGTACACCACAGCAAGTGTTCAGTAAATGTTGTGTTGAAATGTTGAGGATAAATGCAAAAATGATGAACTTATCAAGCTGCAGAAAGGGGCTAATATATATGAAGCCACACCATGCAGCAGTTTGACTGTGATAAGTGTAACTGACAAACTCAGTGACTGTTGAACTTTGCAGTGAGATAAAAAACAGCCCTTCGGAGCCATGACTAAGATTGCAATTCTTGAGTACACGTTTCAAAAAAGTGCATCAAAAGTGTAAAAATTCCCAAGTCTCTTATATAATCAAGTCATTCCCCATATGGTTTGTCTTTTAGGCTCAAAGACAAACCATTGGTGTAACATCCTACTCAGTAATGTTTGAAATTATGACACGACTTAGTGCTAAATCCATCAATATGATCGGATCTTCCGCCACAGGTTATGTTTGCGCAGCTGTCTTATCTTTTTGGTTGAACATGTTTACTGCAGGCTGGATGCTACACTGATATAGTTTTTATTGTTTTGACTGGGCTGCGCTGAACTATATCTGCTCCCACAATCAAGCCCATGGCTGAGGTTGGTTGCTAGATTGTTAACAGCAGGCACTGGCTCTGGCTACCTTCATGTTTCCTTGTCCTGGGTTGAACTCAGCTTCTTGGCCACATGGTTACCTTTAAAAGAGGCAAAGTAACTAACCACGCTTTTCCTGAGTGGGGTTGTTTAGGAAAGGATTTAGGGGTGGATGAACAAGACAGTCATTTAGAAATTATAGATGGTGCAGCAAATTATTCGCCTATGCTTGCAGTACTGTGCAAAAGTCTTGAACCATCACTCATTTCTTCATATTTTGCTAGGAAAATGTAATATCTGTGCAGCAATTTATTGAAACATCTAGAAAAATACAGAATGTAAAGTATGTAGCTCACCTATCTTGCAATATTGACTTTCAAGTTCTAAAGAACTTGAAAGTCAATATTTAATATGACTACCCTTATTCTTTAACACAGCCTTAACTCTGTCAGGAAAGCTTTCTTGACATTTTTTTAAATACTAGGAATATTTCTGCAGGCTTCTTGAAGGACATTCAAAGCTCTTCTTTGGATGTTAGCTGCCTCTAACATCCAAAGTGTGCTTCAGTAATGGTGAGGTCCAGGCTCTGGGGAGGCCAGTCCATGACTGATAATGCTACACTGGGTGTTTTATATCCAGGTATAGTTTTGCTGCAGTAGCAGTGTGTTTGGGATCATTGTCATGCTGAAAAATAAAGCCAATCAAATGCTTTCCAGATGGTATTGCATGGTGGATCAAAATCTCACTGTATTTTTTTAGAGATGGCTGTAGACGCTTACCGTTGTATCTCTCTCCGGACCTCCTGATGACAATTTGAACCAAAAATTTGCAATTTGAATTAATCACTCCATAAAATCTGTTGGCACTGGCACAGTTCTTGTGTAATTTGGCATATCTCAGCCTTTTCTACGTGTTTCCCTTCCACTGAGGCCGTTTGTGATGAAGCCTCAGCAAACAAGAGATGGATCAACTGAAAGTACAGATGCATCAGGTCCATCAGATCTTTGCTGGACTTCTTTCCAGTTTCTTTAGGACATGACTTTTCTAAATCTTCAACTTGTCCACTTTCCTAAAACATTTCTAAGATATGCCAAGTTTAGCTCTTTGAGAATCACCCTGCTGGAGCCAAAATACAATGCCCATTAAACTGTTATTTTTGGCATTCATCATTCAACTAAAGAAATGGGGGGGAAACAGAAGCTTTTTATGCCAGGCTGCTATCAACAAAGTGCCTAAAGATATAGTTTGCTACTCCAAAAAACTGGTTCATCCCTTGAGTTAGGTGCTTTTTTAATGCTAGGTGAATGATAAAACAAGCAAATAAAACAAAATATTCTTCTAAAAATGGCCAGGTGCAAGGGCTGGAGTGAAAATGAGTGAAAAAGTAGTCAGTTTCCAAAGAAAAACTTGTCCTGGAGATCTATTGAGATTGCTTAAGACCACAATTACAAGAAACTCTGACTTCTTGTGTGCAAAAATATAAAGGAATGAGGAGTCACTCCAGACTTTTGCAAAGACTGTGTCTTGCTTCATCCTGTGTCTGATGATGACAGAATGCAAAACTTCCTTACAATGATAAATCACATGTCTTAAACCTCAAGGGGCACAAAAGCACTCGCTGTCCAGTGTAACTGTCATGTGATGGTGGTTTTTGCTTATCATTATAAGCATTTTTGCTTTTAGCAGTATTTCAGCCCCATGTAAGTTAAAGGTGCCAACTAACTTAAACCTGTGATTAGTTTGACAGTTTGAGTAATCTTTATTTACTGTTAATTATATTTTTGATTAGCTGATGAACTGCTTTGTCTGTAAAATTCTGAGAATAACCATTAAAAATCCCCAAAGCTTAATTTCAGATCTGGTTATTTGGCAAGATCAGTTGAAAACGCAGAAATAAGAAGCTTGATAATCCAGGAGCAGCAAATGTTGTTCTTAATTTTGTTGTTAAGTTGACTAATTGAATAATGGATTAATCATTTTAGTAGTTGCACAATCAACTCTGAGGTAGTCCTGTGTTGGTGAGCTCTGTCCAACTGATCCAGATCCAGCACTATCCATTCCACAATTTGCTCCAATCCCTGTGCGTAGGGCTGGAGTAGCCCACATAGGGGATCCTTTGTTTAGGAGAGTCTAGGCATGGAAGATAATTTACAAGCCGCTAAGGTCCTCACGCCATTGGCTGATGAGGCTCTGTCTGCGTCTGCAAAAGGCACCCCATCTTTGTGTGTGTCTGTATGTCTGTGTATGTGCGGTGAGTGTGTGTGCGCCTGCTGTAGCAGTGCTTTGCTACGGCGGCTAGTCATGACACCCAGGAGCTTGCCCTGCGTACGGCTACTGTAGCCAACGTTTTCTGCAGGCTGGAGGCAGGCAAAGCAAGATGGCCACCAATACCTTTTAGGGATATGCTGCCTAAACCGGAGGGGCTTCCTCCGAGGACAGATAAGGTAAAGACAACCATAGTGTTCACCCTGAGCTCTTTTGTCTTACTGCAAGATAGGTCAGCTACAATGGAGCTCATCTAGAGGTATACACCGTTGTCTCTCTCTCCTCGCCACCCTGGATTTAGCTGACCAGGAGTGCTTTATTTGGACGCCTGTTTTGTTATTGTCCCTTTCACTGAGGACCTGGCCTTTTGTGTGTGAGCACTTGTCTTGTCTTTTCCAGGTGGGTTTAAGGGCTGGGACAACAAAGTTAGCAGCAAATGGATACAAGAAAGCCCTCGTCTTTCCTTTTATTGCATGCCTTTATTTAAGCCACTGTGCTGTATGAAGAGTCCGTTTGCTTCCCCTTTTCTTTCTTGCAGTGTTTTGAACAGCCATATTTCTGCACCTGCTGTTTTCTGACTGCTTAGCAGAAAAGTGGAGTGCTTGTAAGCCTTGGGTCGTAACTTGGCAGGTTTTACTTGTTTGGCTACAGTAACAGTATTATTACTGTGCGGTTTGTAGGAAAGGGTCTCGCTGTTAATGACGCCGTCTTAATCTCTATAATTTTATAGTTGATTAAGCTCGTGCTCTTTTTCACCGCTTTTCTCTTTAGGTAGTATGTTTTGTGTGTAGACGACATTATATTGAGCTCAGCGCAGACAGGAAGCACTCAATGAATGAAGGAAATTCTCACGTGTTCAGAGAAACACATATAAACCACTACTTACGCTCTGACTCAGGAAGGAAGCATGTGTTTTTTCAGTGTGTTAATGTCAGGGTGCTGTGAGGTGGCAGTCTTAACGGTATGATTTCTGCATACCCACAATGTGGCAAAAGAAAATCGGAGTATTCACTTTTTTGTTGTAGCAGTTCATACGATGTCTATGTATAATGTGTTTTCTGTGCATGTGTGCATGTTTTTGTCTGTGGTCTTGCGTTACAAATAGATGCACACTACTTCAAACCTCCTTGGAGACCCAATTTGCTCTCTTTGGAGAGACAGAGACACAGGGTTGCTACGATTCATGTAGTAGTGACACTCTGTTGCCGCAGGTCTCTGAACGGGTGTTTGTGTGTTAAGAACTCACCCTTAGCCACTCTGGGATATGTTTTATTCATTCCGAAAGCTCTGACAAGCTCCGTAGTTAGTCATGGTTTGTCTAACACAAAAGAAGAAGAGTGCGTTTGCAAGTGACTAACCCGGCGATATACCCAACAAGCACAAAGACGCAGCACCAGCACATCACAGTCCGAGCTCCCTCCAGAGACCCAGTGGCTAAATGAGAACACATGACTTTGCATTCGCATCCTGCTTTTAAGCTTTTTGCTTTTACAAGGATAAATGTAAAATAATTAAAAGCAGAGGCTGCACTTTGATGTCTGCTTCGGATCATAAACAGTTGGATGCACAAACGGATGCACACGCACACACATGCATGCTGACGTGTGTGTCTGGTGCAGTGCTGGAAGGCAGCCAGTACTGCTTTGTCATTGAAAGCAGTTTATTGTGACATGCTGCTTATTCTTGCACTGTGCCCCATCTTCTTCACTCCTCTTTTCTTTCATTGGCCCATTTGTGCATTCAGTGCAGAGCGGTTATCTCATATTCTTGCATTGGCAGCTTTGGTGTTGCCTCAGCCTGAGCTTGAACTATCTGTTGCATCAGCGGCGTGTTTCTAGTAGTCAGACACAATCCTGACAGCCATGGGGAGTTCAGTGGACTGAGGAGTAACTGCAGCAAACCAGAGAGTGATCAGGAGTACCACATCACTGAAAAGACCTGGTGATCATTTAGCTTTCCCATGTTAATCACAAACAGCTCCGTGGTCACTGCAATTTACTCTTGAGTTGTCAAATAACATTTAACCTGTGCTTAAAGGAGAAACTCCAGCTTCAGCAAAGTTAGAAACTGAGCCAAAGACAAAAGCTGTTCTGTGTATTTTTAGTACTGAGAATGGAAAAAATAATTGGACAAACAGGCAAGATGCAGTCAGGAGACCTTTAGGTCATTTATAAGGCCCAGTTGGAAGATGTGTGCTTGTATGCAAATCAGAAATGTAAGATTGTAAGAAAGAACTTCACACACCTAAAACTCTTGTCTTCACACTGCTGTTGCAGAAGATAGCTCAGCATCTGTATTCTCTCTGACCTCTGTGTGCCTTTTATTCTTCCAGCTATAGCTTTGGAACAATGCCTAATCTCCTATTTTTCAGTGTCTTCTTCTTTACAGATGCCACTTTATTGCATGTAAGGTGTCACTGTATGCATTTGATGGTTGAAAACATTGTTCCCTTTTTGTTCGGGATTTCTGAGAATCTTTTAAGTGAACTAGTACCAGCTCCAGATTTAGGCTGATTCTGATTTTAAGACTTGAAGGATTGTTGTGTTTTATGAAAAGCGGTTAAAAAAAATGTCAGTATTGTGTTACTGCTCCATTAGTCGAGCAGGTTTTTTTTTTAAATAAACATAAGGTTTATGGTTCATTTTCCACAGGTATTCCTGTGCAGTCTATAAAACTCCCTGCTCCCATACATCGTTCTGTTTGTCAAGTGCAGTAAAAATAGTGCACTAATAGTGTGCCAATCTAAATCTGGTGCACGTCCAGTGGAAACAGAGGGAACAAAGAGCACATGTAGGTGATAAACACAAGTGTTTTTTGTTTGGTCTGTGGGTTCACAGGAGTCTGGTTTATATTGATGTACTGCTGCTGCTGCTTACTCTTGATCTGTCAGTGCACATCACCTGCTGTAAAACACATTAAAACCAGTTGATGTGATTTACTGTAATGGATGTTTATGCCAGGTAAACAGTCATAAAGAATATACATCCAGCTGCACTGTAGTATGTACAGCACACTCAAGTGAGTTTAACATCCTTTTGTCAGCTGAGATTTGGCACATGATACTGATTTTTTTTTTTATATATCTTTGTCACATTGAAACATTTTTCTTCCACAGCTAAAGGCTTTAGTTCTGATTTGATATGCAGCTAAAACAAAGAACAGCTTGTCTTCAGTGGATCATATGTTTATTCAAGATGTTAAAAACTAAGGATGGCTTTCATATTTTCAGTTGCCAGCTGTACAGTGCTGTGTAAAAGTTCCTACAGTTCTAATAACCTTGAAAGTCAATACTTGCTCTGACCACCTTTATTCTTCAACACAACCTGAACTCTCAAGCTTTCTTCTAACTTTTTTAAGTAGTCTACAGGAATAGTTCTCCAGGCTTCTTGAAGGATATTCAAAGCTCTTCTTTGGATATTGGCTGTCTTTTTTGCCATTGTCTGCCAAGATGATCCTACTGCTACAATAATGTTGAGGTCTTGGTCAGGAGGAGGCCAATCCATGACTGATGTTTTTTTTCCATCCCAGTATGCTTTCACTACATCGACAGTGTGTTTGAGATCATTGTCATGAGGAAAAATGAAACCATTGCCAATCAGATGCTTTCAAGATTGTTGGATCAAATCTGACAGTACAAAATCCTGTCACTTTGAGCCATGAAATTACCTCCACCGTGTTTTAACCAAACCAAATATTTGGATTAATTACTCGTTAAGTTGCCAGTTCTTGTGTAATTTGGCATACCTCAGCATTTTCTGTAAAGTCTGCTTTCTTAACATTGAACACGATTATTTTGATAGTCGACTAGTCACCAATTATTTTTGCGATTAATCAGATCGCGCATCCATTGGACGTAAAACGTACAGCTTATTGCACCAGCATGCATCTGCTCTTATATAACTATCATTAGCTTACAGCTTTAAGTGTTTAAGGTCTGTGCTAACTAAAAATAAAGACAAGATGATAGTTTATCAAATTTTAATGAAATTTGCAGATTGTTTCGGTGAAGTTTAATAAACTCCTTGCTATCTAAAATATAACGGGACACCGGAGTATATTCTCGAGCATCTCAGGCTTCTGATAATCAGCTGTCTGCTTGACGTTTACTCAGCTTTGTAAAAACTATAACTTTAATCTCAGCCAAACCGATTTACTCAGGAACTAATAAAATTATAAAAAAAACTAAACAATAACGTTTTTAAGTTATATAAGTGACTTATATATGTTTAACCTGAGTAGCAAAAGACAGCGGTGGGTTTGAAAACGATTTGCCGGGAGTCCGGTGTTCTCACCGCGCTAGTGACCTAGCCCCCGGCTAGCTATCGAGCTGGTGGGTAACAGATGTCTCCGAAAACGTCGGAGCGCTTTGAAAATATGTGGTGTCTTGATAAACTGAGAAGATATTTGAGGTTTACACAGCTACATTCTCCCCTGAAAATATGTTAAACGTTTATTTTGTGACCCAGAAAGAATAATAAGAGTAATATTAAAACTAACTAGCTGCCGCCATTGTTGGAAACAGAGCTGCCCACAAGAGCTGGGTTGCGCTATGAATTCTGGGACACTTCTTCTTCGGGGTTTAACGGCAGCTGGCATCCTTGTACGTGCAGTGCTGCCATCTTCTGTTTCAGTCCGTTATTACACCCGTAAAACCTACTACGGTACTTATTCCTGCGTCTTTTGGGATCTTACAAAGCTTCAAACGATGCGTCGACTATTAAATCAGTCGTCGACGATTTTGATAATCGACGTAATCATGACTTAGTTGACTAATCGTGGCAGCCCTATTTCAGAGTACTCTTTGCATGTTTCTCGTAGAAAGTGCTTCCAAGCAGCATGTATACTACAGTAGCAAACACACTTTACTCAAAGCCTTAAAACGTCTCCAGATAGTATAGGTTGTGGAAATAATTATCTGTGTACTAAACAGGTTGTAGTAGAACATGCTTAATAATGTTTTTGTGGGTAATCCATACGCCATGGTTGACCTTTGTATGATCACAGTTCATGAAGGTCAGGCGGTGCCGTAGCTACTGTGTGTAAGACCCACAGTGGGTTAATCCCTCTTAACAATGCACAGGGGCTATACTGTAATGTCAGGCCAGCTGTGTGGATAATCACGTGTGCATGCACACACATGCATACCCAGGAGCACACATTCAAGCCCAGGACAAACACAACACGTGCATACATGTTGCACACATACCCTCAGTGACCCACTGGAAGTAGCGCAGCCTTGAACTGTGGATGACTCCAAATGTTTACTTGTTGGCTCTTAGCTACTTTTGGGTCCATTGCTCTCAACACTCCTGAGCTCTGATATTAATGTAGTCGTTATCGAAGCTTCAACTGCGAATTATCTTAGTTTAACTTTTTATTAGCTGTGTTTAGAGGTCAGATTTGGCAAGATTTGTGAAAAAGGAGATTATTTGTTTTCCCAATGCCATAATATTTTCCACAGCCTTGATAGTGGCTGCAGCAGATGCTCGTGCCACGCTGAGAGGCAATCTGCTGTGCTCTGTGCCGTGACTGTTTAGAACAAGCTGATTCCCTGTGTACTGTGAGAGCTTGAGTCACCTCTCTCTTCTTGTTTCTCTCCCTGTCTCCGTGTTTCAGGTGGTTCCAGAAAGTGGGTTGGTAAATGGCACAGGCAAAGCACAGATGGATGACACCCACATGGCAGCAGAGGAGGATGAGGGGGAGGAAGGCCACATACCTCATACACAGACTCCCCCCATTACCCACTCACTCACCCACGACCAGGTCTTGGACCAAGGTGTACGGCCAATACTTATTAAAGGAGAGCCCGGGCTGGAGCTGACCAGCACTGCACCACTTCACCAACAAGTATGCTCTTCTGTGACTTTTCAGAATGGTTCTGCTGCAAACCTGATAAAACCTAAACCTGGTGCTAATATGACCACTGTGTCTGCTTTGAAACGGACTACAATGGCATTGGAGCCTCAAAGGAATATCATAGCTGCAGTTCCTAAAGACTCTGAGAATGGACCCATGACTCCTCCAGATGACTTGGCAGTTCCACTAAAGAAGATAAAACAGGAGGAGCCATGGGTGTGGATCACCGAACAGACCACCACGCAGCTGAGTGATGAAGATGAGGTATGTGAGGACCCACTGGCTACGCTGGCAGCCGTTGTGTGTCTTTCTGTCACTGAGAGGAAGGGCCTGGAGGAGAAACTCTTCAGCTCTCGTGCTTCCATACTTCACTCCATCAAAACAGAGGCACCAGATTTGCACTTTGTGAGAAAAGAGGACTTGTATCTGAAAAGCACTCCTGTTAATCTGCAAAGCACTCCCCCACCCATTAAAAGTGAGCCTCTTCCAAGTGTCTTGTTACCAAGCGTGCAATCTTTGGCAGAGAGGAGAAACCTTAGTGTTGATCAGGCTATCGCTATTGAGGCCTTGACTCAGCTGGCAGCTATACCTCAAAGCACACCAGGGTCCATTAAAACTGAAAGTAAGTGTGAACATCCCATTTCTACTGCTGTGCCATCATCAGCCTCGAGTACAAATACAGTCCTGCAAGAAGCCAAACCCGCAGTAGCTTTTGGCTACAACAAAGTCTCTGTCATCAGCTCACCACTACACCAGATGTCAGTTATACGACCTCCTGTGGCCAGACAAGGGAATGTCATCCAGCGCTCCAACGGGTTGAGCATAAACAAGCTGCAGAGCCTCTTGGAGGCGAGTTCACACAGTGATAAAACAATCTCCAGGAGGTCAGAACAGGATTGTGGTGCTTTTGTCATTAAGTCTGAATTCAGTTATAAAACCCCCACTGATGTGAAGTTTAGTAAGGATCATGAGCGTCTGTCTATGGAGGGTGGGGTTGTTGCTAAAGTGAGTAGAAACAGAGATGAAGAGGAAGTGGCAGCTCAGCTGGCAAATTTAGCCTTCATCATCCAGTCCCAGCACAACCAGCAGTCAGAGAACAATCCTTTGAAAGGAGCGCCTGTTTCAGCTATCAAATACAACTACAAATCCCAGCAGCCCCCCACTCAGAAAACACCTGTCAGGAAGAAAACAAAAGCTGCGCCTTCCAAGCCCAGAAAGAAGAAAACTGATGGATTAAATCAGCACACGCCAAATAGAGAGACGCCGTACAGGAGCAGAAACCAGAAGAATCCCTTGCAGGGTAAATCAGGACTTCACCACAAGAAAAACCTATTTCTGCCTCAGGCTCAAATTGATCTGAAGAGATACTTGGCTGAGGCACAGGAGGAGAGGAAGCAATTTATCCATCAGATTAACACTCAAAATATATCTCATTTAGGGCATCAGACTCAGAACTATAGCACTCTCACAACGTTCAACCACATTTCCGGTCAAGAAAACCAGCCGTGGTCCCTTTCCAAAGGTCCACTTCACCAACATAATCCATGCAACGGTTACGCTGCAGGACCAGAAGAGTACGAAAAGCATTTGTTATCTCAGGTAGCGCAGCCCTGTGGTGGGCTGCAGCACGGTGCTGATCCTAACACCAGCCCAGCCAAATCAGCTTTTCTCAGCCCTACGTCTGGGCATCATGGTCTGGCTAATGGCTTCTCAGGGGCTCACCAGTCCCCTCCTCTAAGTCAACAAAGCTACTACAAGCTGGAGAGTTCAGGACCTGTCACTGTCCTGTCTACAACCACTGATGGGAGTCAGGGACACTCTGCGGACTCAACTCCATCCAAGAACGGCATCAACAGTTTTCTGGAGTCTCCCTCAAGTTTTCTGGATACCCCTACCAAGAACTTGCTCAACACACCTTCCAAAAAACTGGCTGATCTTCCATCCTGTCAGTGTGTGGGTGAGTTGCTTCTGTCTTCACTTCAACTTTTTAGCGCATGTGTTTCCATCACATTAAATTTGAACCACTTTGAAATTAAACAGACTAATGTACATGTTTTTCCTCTGGCCTGCAGAGTTGTTTATAAAGCTGAGTAGCTGTTGCTGGTGAGATTTGCCCAGATTGGGCGATAACAGATAGAAAATATACAAATGACTGCCTTCTCTACGTCTAATGAAATTAGATTGCAGTCACACTATGGTCAAAGCATTAAAAAAGTGCATTTTAAAACTCAGCAGTAAAGTCTTTATTGTGAGTCACTCAATTTAGAACATTTTTTTAATCAACTAGACAAAAGGTTGTGTGACAAATTCCTTTCTAACAGAGCATTAAAAGATGAGAGCCATCTAGTTCAATTATATTCAAGTAAAGTGAGACATCAGAATGAAAGAGGTGATATCTTCTAAACTGAGCAGCTTACACCAAAGCTTAGTATCACTGCAGGCCAGAGGGAAACATGTGTATTTGATTTTAGGGTGAGCCGTCCCTTTAGAGTTTTCTTTTTAGTGAGACTGCTGGTGTTTGACCTCAAACTGACTTTTTTCTCTCACTCTGACTCAAACATACACTCACACACACATACACTGTGTCCTAATTCAACAGCCAAATCGAGCATAAAAGGCTGCATTTCTCTGCCATATTTGGAGCAGGATTTTGAATGTTTTGTGGAGGGTTGTTGACTTATTATGATGCATTTCAAAAGACCTCCAAGGTGATGAACCCTAAACTGAAACTGAAATCCAGCTACATTTAGTTTGTATTTCAACATTAACCTGATGTTTTTATTAAAAATATCAAACAGGTTGTCTGTGTTTCTCTTTAAACCTGCCAGCAATGCATCAGTGGAATGCTATTTGAAGAAGTTGCTCCAATATTCATTGTTGTCTTTCACAGACCAGATCATTGAAAAGGAAGAGGGCCCTTACTATACTCATCTTGGGGCAGGACCCAGCGTCGCTGCAGTGAGGGAACTTATGGAGAACAGGTAGAGTGACTACAGCGGCGTTGTTTACACGCTGTGGGGTGTGATTACTACCACAGCTTACTAGTAAACCACAGGCTTGGTGGAATGGGGCGGGATCACAACCATGCTATGTCATTAAAAGGAAGCACTGCTGAGATAGCTCAACACACACACAGCATGCTGAAACAGGAAACCCCTCTAGCTCAGACGAGGGGCCCGTAAAGCAGGATGACAGCTTGTTTAAATACAACTTGTGGTTCATCAAGTCCATTTGACAGCTACACTTAACGTATATTTTCAGCTTGGCTGGTAAAAATGAAATAGTTTAGTCTCTGGTCTAATTAGCTCTTTTGGACACATACCACTGCTCACTGTTACATTATACGAACCTTTGTAATTCACTAAAAGACACAAAGGGTTTATTTTGAAATGCTGTGAGGTTTTTGTGTTGTCAGTTGCTCTCAGGAAGGGTTAAGCTTCCTCATGTGTAATATATAGCATATTGCCATCCATACATGCTAGATATGGGCTTTTTGAGCAGAAATACTATTGCCCAACATCCAAATACTCTAACCACATCTCACCTTTTTTCAATCCAACGCTTGGTAGTTGGTTGCGCATTTTACTATTTTTCTTGTAAGTCGGTAAACAGCTTTTAGTTTTATTACCTCCACCTTCTGGCAGTAATAACGCATTACATCCTACCAGATTTTTGTTAGAAATGAGGGAAGATACAGCATCCCAAAAACATTAAGGGAGTACTTGTTCTCCGCAGTTTAACAACAAGTCAGTTAAACTTTAGGGATGACAGTTTGGTTCAGTTAGGAAGCATGAACCATTGTGAACCCATTTCACCTACTTCAGTGTAAATGATCATGAACGGGAGGTCTCGAGATGCACCGTTACCGTTACCCTCTCCATATCCCTCCACACTGTTGTTTTTCTTTTTGCTTGTGTCCTTGTTATTGCTGCTACCATGAAATGCTACCTGCAGGCAGCTAAGTTTCTTCAGGATGCCGCATCCAAATGTGCTGTCACAGGAAGGTTTGCTGTGTCTCAAGAGTGAGGCAGCTGGACAAGGCTGTAGAAGGGCATCAACCCAACAACAGGATCGCTGTCTGCACCTTTCTGCCAAGAAAAACAGGAGGAGCACTTCCAGAGTCCGACAAAAATCACCTCCTGGGGCTAATCATTTGCATGTTTCTGAGGAAACTGTCACAAGCAGGCTCCACAAGGGTGTCGTCAGGGCTCAACGTCCTTTAGCCGGACCCACGTTCACAGATCAGCATAGTGCAGCTTAACTGGCGTTCACCCATGAACACCAGAACTGGCAGGTCTGTCAGTGGCATCTTGTTCTCTTGGCTGATGAGAGCAGGGACATGAATTTCACATAGAGTGCATGTGACAGAAGAGAAAGAGTCTGAAGACACCGTAACAAATGCTGTGATGACGGCAACATCAAACAACACCAGTGCGATTTGCACCAAACTAAATGCACTCATGGTGGTTTATACTTCCTAACTGAACAGAATGACCCTGAAGTTTAACTGATGTTGTCTTATTTTGTGATGAGTGGTGTATATTTTAAACAAAAAATAGTTGTATGAACTGTTACATGTTTTAAATATTATTCTAACTTTCAGAAATTATGCCAATGACTTTTATATGTTCTTTTGTGAAGAGCACAGACTCATCATTTATT